TCCAAGAAGTTATAGAAAATTAGCTTGAATAAAAAATTAAGCTAAGTTTTCTAATTGCGGTCACCCTTAGACAGGGAATGTCAACCCCTCCGAGAGTACTTATGACTTGAAATAAGGGCTCCTCGTAAAAAAAATCCTTCAACCGTTCGGCGGCGGCTTAGTATAAACTGTAAGTCCCTACATTTGTTAGAAATATATCTAGAAGCAAAACCATAAATTGGAGCAGAAGCCTAGTCGAAAATCGCTTCAGCGGTTACAAAGCGCCAATTTAACGAGGGCATTAAAAAAAGTTCAGTCAGTTGGTGACTTCAAAGTTTTTTGTTAAATCTAAAAACACCAAATCCTTTGCAATTATTTTATTAGTTTTTCTTTCCAATTTTAAAATGATGGGCTTAAATAGAGAGGAAAAAACCCAAGATAGCTGGGGATAGATCAGACGAAATTACACCACCAACGCAAACAGAAATTCGCCATGTGAATCTCTTCGGGTTTTGTCTGGTTCCGAAGACTCCAGACCGGACATTTTTCCGTAGCGGACGAGCACCGAGAAGGTCGACCAAAATTTTCCACTGATGACATCATTGTAGCTCTGGTGAAGTTCAAAATTTGGCAAAGACCCACGATTGACACAAGAAATGATTGCTAATGAATTGGGCTTGAATTCCATGGCCGTATCGCGAATATTAAGTAATCAGTTGGGATACATGAAGAAATTTGCTCGATGTGTACCACGAATTTTAAATGAGGCCCAATACGAGGCTCGATTTTCCCTAAACAAACTCGAAAATGGTCAGTCTAGCAACTTCAATAATGTCATTACTGTTGAAAAATCTTGGTTCTAAAAGTACGATCTAGAAACAAAACAATAATGGAGCCCAATAGAAACAAGCCCACCCGTAAAATCTAAGCAACAAAAATCAGCAGAAAAAGTGGTGATCTCAGTTTACTTCACTCGATTTAAAATCGTAGCTACTAATGCACTGGAAGACGATAACTTTAAAATGGTACATCGAAGAGTGCTTACCAAAAGTTTTCGAAAGTTTATTGGAAAACAGGAAAGAGACGATTTGTGACACTACTTTTTACATCATGACAACGCGCCATTCCAAACTGCTGAAATAACGAGTAATTTTATTACGATCTCTGGAATCGAAGAAATACATCCAACACCATATTCCCCAGATATAGCACCTTTTGATTTCTGTTTATTTCCAAAATTTAAAAGGAAAGGTTTTTAATAGCAAAGAGAAGATAATTAATGCGGTTAATGCTGAACTTGTTAAGCTGAAAAAGCAAAAATTTGAAGACTGTTTTCAGAAATGGATCTCTAGGCTTACAAAATGCATTGAAATCAATAGCGATTATGAAGAGAAGATAAAAATGGCTAAAATTACAAAAACCTTTTTTTCTTTTTTTCCTGGTCAACTTACTGAACTTTTGTTAATTCCCTCCCATATATATACATAACTGAGCGCTAACATTGAACGGCGATTAACTCTTAGAGGATAATTTGACTATTGCAAATGGAAAAGTAATAAATAAATTGTGTTCCGGTATTAGGTTATATTGAGCTGACTGACTCATTGGGTCTCACACACTACACCCGACTAAGCTTTCAAGCAGCACTGCTATACTCCTATTATGTCTTTAGTTTGAAGAACAATAATATTTTTTCCGCGAGCTGAAGTAGTCTTTCTGGCCCATTGGTCATTGCCGATTGAAGAACCTGCAGTCTTTCTGCGCCAAGTAAGTGCAGGCTTCGTCTGCCGACAGTCCCACACATTCCTTACATTTCCTATATTTGTTCTCCGCAGTGAGAGCTAAATTAAAAGCCAAAGGGCCTCTGCTGAACGGTTTTATAATGAATCTCAAATCCGTACACGAAATCGCGTGGGGTGATGCCTTGGAAAACGGAAATGCTGTTTTCCCACTTCTATCCCTTGGACTGAGAACATCTCTGTGGAGCGTTGCGCTTTATTGCCATCCAGAATGATTTTAATCAGGATGAAATAGAAGTTCAAGTGCATGAGTCAGCAGAATCATCCGTTGCAGCCGACGAGTCAATTCGTCTGCTTTTCCGTTACCTACCACATCCGCAATCCGATACTCAAGCTTAATTGTCGCTTGACTGTCACCAACAGACCTAATGGGACTCCGCCGTTGAGGTCAACCCCCTTGTCACCTACAGTAATGTCCACATTATTTGCTTGGAAGACAGAGTTGCAGTCACTAAGTTTAGAATAATTCTACTTCTGTACCTGTTTCACGTTTAGATTCATCAGATAGAAATATCTTTATGGTCACTGATAGTGTGACATGTGTTTTTTGCAGATAATTATGGCTCGTCTATTGCGCCAACATATGCCTTAACCATGCTGGTAAGTTCTAGTTTATCCCAAATGAGGAGATAGACGAGATCCATGCCGTGGTGTTTGTACGCTCTACTTCAATAAATGCTTCGATGGTGTAATCTTACTTCGGTGACGATTTTTTAGTTGTCGCCGACTTCATGAAGATCAGCATCGACTGATTTACCCTTGACGTGCTGTACTGAAAAGCTGCTTGGAGGAAATTTGTTGTTTGATCCAATGATCTTGGATCCTTTCCATGCTTTTTAGCAGAGAGTCTGCCAAAGTGATCGGTCTGTATGAATTGTTGTTGTTATTATTGTTGTTGTTGTTGTTGTAGCATCTTTGAAACACCGCCTACGAGCAGGCAAATTCTTGAGGTCTAGACAACGATCTACAATATTTCGACGTGTTAAGACCAGAAGCAGAGGGCTATTAGATGAGTTGGTTTTAAAGGGTATGTAAGAGGTGGTAAGTGTCGTGTGGTAACTTATTGCATACAGGACATGCATTGCGTCTGTCGGGAACTAGTCGGGATAGGTGAGAATTAAGTCGACCTCAATATCTAGTCAACAACTCATTTCTGTCGACCTATCCAACTGGGGAGATTAATTTATAAATTTTGTTCAATTTTTATTTTTAATTGACATTATAAAGGAAGTGATAGAAGAAGAATAACGGTAAGTTCAAATTAGGCTTCAACTAATGTGAAATCTTGGCCACAGCCCGGTAATTAGCATTGCCTATGCCAGGAGGACGCTCGAAAGTCATGCCCTTCAAGTGTAGTTCTGATATGAAAATCAAAGCTTCTCATAAAAATCCATCGGTCGTCCGAAAGCGGCTTAGAGAAAACTGTAGGTACTTCCAGTGGTTGTAAAAACATTAAGACACATGATGAAGAGTGAAGTAGGGCTCAGTCGAAAATCACTTCAGCGCCCATAAAACTTAAGCTAAAAGCTACCTGCGTACCAAATTTGCAGAAATATAACAAAAATACGATTTTCGCGAATAGGTCTCTGAAGCACTGCTCGAATTTCCAATCTGAATTTAGATGTAAGCATAGTTATGAACAAAATCGACTAATTAGTCTCGGATTTTGTAGGCGATATAGATAGATAAATACACTCTCTTTTATATATAGATTGGGTCTTAGTACCCGTTGAAACGGTTTTCGGTCGTACTCTTCGATAAAAATTTCCATAACTATAACTGCTTCAGACTTTCTTCTTTTTCTTCTTCCTCTTTTCCTTCTCCACTGGCAGCGCGACAATCATTCCTTCTTTTCGTTTTTCCAAAATACCAGGTAGACCCAAGTTCTTCTCTACATGGTCTTTCCAACGGACTTAGCCAGCGTAGTCATGGTCTATTGATTCGCTGAACTATGTCAATTGAGCCGTATATCTCATACAGCTAATAGTTCCATCGACATAACCATAAATCCGACTCGTCATTCCAAAGTAGCATTTGTTGGCAATACTGATTATGCGTTGGATTTCCAGGCTGACATTTATTGTTGGTGTTAAACTGGCTCCACTATGTACGAAATTGTCTACGACTTCAAAGTTCTGACTTTAGACTTAAGTCTAGAGATGCTCAGCTAACGAAACGATGGCAATTTGTTTTTGTTTATGTGCATATATGTGAAATATAAATTTACCAAAATGATTTTGTTTCGTTTCGGCGCAATTTCATCAAAACGAAATGGAATTCTTAATGTTGAAACCATACACACGCAGCGTTAACATTAATTTTAAAATGGCTGTTTGCTATGATATTAACAGCACAATTTAATTTTAACGTTTAACATAACCTGTTAACGATTTAACATTGTGTCTAACTGATTTAACATAACCTGTTAACGATTTAACATTATCTGTTAACGACTTAACATTATCTGTTAACCACTTAACATTATCTGTTAACGATTTAACATAAACGACAGCATTTCGGTTTGGGTAAAAACGAAATAAAATTTATGCTGATAACTGCTTTAACGGTAACATTTCCAAATATTTCAACCGAATCGATTGAATTTTTTTTTTCGAATTTAATGAATTTTTTGATTTTATGAAATTTATCGTTATGACGCAGTCTTGCTTTAGTCTTAATACCTGATGATGCATTGCCATATATGTACATATGTATGTATTCATAAAAGTACAAGTCTGCCCTTACTCTTACACCCCGTAACTTGTGGAAAATCTTTGTGTTATGACAGTTTAATTACATTTTAATATTTATAAAACAAGCGTACGCCATGCTGCGTTCTTTATGACGACTCAAAGGTAAAACTTGAGCGAAATATTTACTTTCAACGCGATAACAATTTATCATTTAGGGCTATTTTATCTTTGCGCCTTTTAATGGCTTCTTAATTGTTCGGTTTTCGCCAGCAAATGCTACATATTTACATGCATTTAAACAGATGTATGGAAATTCTAAAACACATTAACATACTTATAAACCCACTCTTACATACGTGTACATATGTACATACACACAGGTGTGTGTGTGTGCATATACAGCATCATTGTACGAATTTGGTATGTATGAGTATGTACATTTAACTAATATCTGCTGTTTGCTAAACAACAAAACTTTATCTCAGGTAAAAGTTTAAACTAAATGCCTCCTGCTACCGTAAAATGTGCATCAACTTTTATTCGGCATAATTTACTTGAGCGAAAATTACCTACCTCTGTGATATACACGTACGAGTACAGGTGAAAACGCTTCGCCACATCCGCTGTAGAATACCGACGTGTGGTTGATATTGTCTGAGGTTGCGTTCGATAATTATTAAATTCTGCAAGTGTGAACTATTTCCTTTATTCTCGAAGCGTAAGGCGGAATTGTGAGTGAATCTATAAGTGAGTGGGCATTGTGTGTTTGTGCAGTAAGAGTGTGTATTACGTGTATATCAGCCAAAGTGAAGAATGAAGAACTCGCTGAAGTGTTTGAAAAGGAAAAGTGTAACAATGCACAACGAATTTGTATAAAGTGCATTCTTGCGCCAGCGGCTGTCGACAGTGAGTGGTGCAAGTTGTAAGCGAAACAGCCGGCGAAAGCATTGTGTAGAAAAGTAAAACTAAAGAGAAAATTCAAAAGTGTACAAGTATTTCCAATTGGTTTTTTTTTTGTATTTTTTTTTTGTATTTCTTTTGTGCGCTCTCGAAAATTTTCGCGATTTTACGAGCTGCAAATCTGGCGGCTTTTAAATTCACACGCAGCCCTTCTGGCAGGGTTTATGTTACCGGTGGAAAGTGTTCAATTTGTGCTTATTATTTTGCCTAAAAAGTTGCACGATTATTCATCGAGAAAACATACAAACACACATGAGACATAACTTGCGTGCGAACTCTGCGCTTTTCGTCGAAAAAAGTCTGTGCTTGTTAAAGCCGCTTGTCGTTACTATTTTTGTGATCTACGATGTGACACAAAGTTTTTTGTTGAAGATGATTGAAATGCTCAAAAGTGTGATTAAAAAAAAAAACTTTTAGTATAACTATCATAAATTCTAGAAAATGGTTTGCGTAGTAGGCGTACGTACCCCTATGCGGCAGCTACAAGTTCCTTATGTGGACATTCCATTTTGAGTGTGAAAATTTTCCTCTTGTTGGTCTTTGCTTTGCCTCGTGTTCAAACTGCTATAAATTAAACCGAAAAATTTAAAAGTCTTTTTTTAAGAATTATTGCGGAAAAATGAAACGAATGCCATGGGACAAATAAATAACATAATAAAAAATAATATTGAGTCGGCTCCGGCAAGGTATCGGGCTCATCATATCACAAAATATTGCTTCTAATAAGATACTTCGATGCTGAAAGTTCAAGATCTCTTTTTGTTTCCATAAAAAAAAACCCACAATCTCATCGTAAAGAAATTTTTTGCTCAGTACCTTTTGAAGCAATTGATATGAAATTCTTCTTCTTTTTTTATTGGCGTTGGCACCGCTTACGCGATTATAGCCGAATAAATATAAGCGCACCATTCTTCTATTCTTTTCGCTGTGTGGCGCCAGTTGGAAATACCAAGTGAAGCCAGCTCACTTTCCAGATTATCCTTCCAAAGGAGTGCAGGTATTTCTCTTTCTCTGCTTTCACCAGCGGGTACTGCATTAAATACTTTCAAAGCTGGAGTGATTTCATCCAATCGGTCAGCATGACCTAGCCAGCGTAACCACTGTCTTATCATTAGCTGAACTATGACAATATCATTAAATAGCTCGTACAGCTCATCGTTCCATCCGCTGCGCTATTCGCCGTTGTCAATGCGTAAAGGACCATAAATCGTTCGCAAAACTTTTCTCTCGAAGACTCCCAGCGTCGACTCGCCAGATGTTGACATCATCCAGGCTTTTGTGCCATATAGTAGGCCAGTAATGATGAGTAACTTGTAGAGTTTGGTTTTCTTTCGTTGATCAGGACTTTACTTTTCAACTGCCTACTCAGTCAAAAGTGGCATCTGTTGGCAGGAGGGATTCTGCGTTGGATCTCAAGACCGACATTACTACATTACTGTTATGTGTTTATCCACATATGCACGGCTTTTCGTGTAGCCTCACAAAAAAGAGTCCAACGGTGGTCAAATCACACAAGGTCGTTGGCCAATCGACAACGCTAATACGAGAGATTACCCGATTGGGAAATTTCTCCCGCAATAAAACCATATTCGCTCTTGTTCGCACCACGAGCATGCGGCACCATCTTGTTATCCAAGTCCAGTTTTTCAATTGCGGGCCTAAAAAGATGGCTATCATACGGCCATAAAGCTCTGAATTAACGTTATGCGAATGTCGCCTCTCGGGTCGGTTAGGCGGCTGGGAGTGTCTACGTTGGGCTTATTATTATAAGTAATATCTAAATTTTTCTCAAATTTTGAGGATCTCCTGAGAAGCGGTCTGCTGGGTTGAAGTGTCTAACTTAAATAGAAGATTTGATATATTTTATTGAGTCAAAAATCTACTTTTTTAATTAAAAAAAAATCTACAGCTGCCGCATTCGGTCCTAGCAAGCTTAAACTTTCAGCATCGTTTCCGTGTCGGGCATACTTTCTAGGAAAAAAATAGGAGAATAAAATTCGTTGACTCAAGTACCCATATCTAGTTAGCCACTAAAACCTATATTGAAATTTTTATTAAAATAGTTACATTTTAAACAAAAATGAAATTTATGGTCAATATATGTATGTGTACGCCTATGAATGTTTATGTTTCGAAATAAATTTGGATGTTAATTTGATGAAATTGTTATTTTCCAACAATTAGATATCCAGTTCAACTGAAAATTCGACTTAGGCACAACAAAAACTAAGTACAACGTGAAAATACACGCTAGAGAACACTATTTATATATGTATAGGCGTGTAAATGATAATAAGGACAATATTTAAATAGTGAACATGATCAGTGTCATTGAAATCAATAAGCAAACAATAAAATAAAATTTTGCTCGAAATGAATTTAATTACAACAGCAGTAAACTTAACCACCGAACTTCCTGCCTTCCCAGCAAACGAAAGCAACTTTTTCTCCAATAATTTATTCAATGAAACCATCAGCGGCAGCAAAGCTTTATTCGAACAACATTTCGTTACCAACACGGACGCTGGTATATTTGACAATTACATAACTAATAACAGTGAAAATGTATTCAATGATTTAATCGGCAATCTAAGCACCATTGCCTACGACTATGGAAAGCAATTATTTACCACCATCGTTGATGCCAACACTCCAACATCCGCCATTCCACCGAGTATAGTGCCGTCAACCGAAGCGATGTTGCACTCAACTGGGAACAGCAGTAACAGCGGCGGCGGCAGCAGCACGAGCAGTACAAATGACAGTGCAGCAATGCAGAATGTGTCATTACCGTGGGAGCACTGGCTGCTCAGCGCTGTTAATTCTACGCCGCTCTCCAGTGAGGGAGAGGAACGAAGGTTGGGCAGTGGTTTTGAGTTGGCTGCAGCTGTGGGAAATGGAAGAGATACGAGCGCAGACACAGATAGTTGGATACCACACACACAAACGTTTTACAATAATTTCGATGATGAGGAATTGGATCCATGTCATCCAAATAATTCGAATTTCAACTGCACACAGACTGATTATGTTAAATACCTGCTCGGACCACAGACTTTGCCCCTCTACAAGGTGTTGCTGGTGAGTAGGCATATAATTTCATTAAATTACTTTTTATATTTTTCAAGTAGTACAAATAAGTTATTGGAATTTCGAAATATTAAATTAAGCCAAATCCTTCTTAAACCCCTGATCTTTGCCAGGGAGTGGAGATTCTCCATTTTCTCTACTTCCACTGATGGGTACTGCATCGAAAACATTTAAAGCCGGAGTGTTGTCAGCCATACGAACGGCATTGCTTTATCAGCCCAGTGGTGTCTCTTAATTCGCTGAATTATACTAATGTCAGCGGACTTTTCGTACTGTTCATCACTCCATCGTCTGCGGTATTCGCCATAGCCAATGTGGAAGGACCATGAAGGGTTCTCTCGAAGACTTTCAAACCAACAGCTCCTTGCATCGAGCAACTAGTAGAGTTTGGTTTTTGTATGCCGGGATAGAGAACTATATTTTTTGATTACCTACTCCGCTCAAAGTAGCTTACTGACTGATTCCTTCTTCTTCTTTAATGCAGGCACTGCTAACGCGATTGTAGCCGAATCAACAAAGTGCGCCATTCGTTCCTTCTTTTAGCCAGTTGGGAATACCAAGTGAAGTCTAGTCACTCTCCATCTAACCTTTCCAATGGAACGGAGGTCTGTCTCTTCCTCTGCTTACACCGGCGGGTACTGCATAAATTAATTTCAAAGCTGGTTTTTGTGCCATAAGGTAGGACGGAAATGATCAGAGACTTGTAGAGTTCGGTGTTGGTTCGTCGAGTGACACACGTGTGGTAGAAAATCAGCATTCAGTTTTTTCTGAGTAAAGGTTTTCTACAAACCGGGACTTTCCATGCCTTTCTGCATACTCAGACAGTATGGAGTAGTAGCTCCGACCGGGGACCTAAATCTGGTACCAAAAGGAACAAGAGTGCTCGGAGCCTGTTCACGCGGCTAGGCCCCCTAGAGGAATATCGGGGTGGCTGTGGTTTAAATCCAAATGTGGGAAAAGTTGACTTTGTGTCAGCTCAATCTGGTGTTGCATTGCAACCGGGTGCCGGACAAACAGTCTTAAGATAGGCCTCGAACCCTGCCAATGTGGTTAGTCCATTCCACACTGCCAAGCATTATGGCGGCTGATCAACGCATTTATTTGATCTGTTGTGTTTTTGAGCACCGTGAGGTTAGGCCGACGTCGGCAGGTACTCACATAAAGCATGTCGTACGATGTCAACAGTGACGTGCGAGCTAAGTTGTAAGTGCGCCGACTGTTTTTTTTGATGACGGGAGACAGTTTAACATACTCGGGTGTTAAAATGCCTCTTTTAACCTCATACAGTTGAGATTTTTTCATCACTGGAATTTAACAGGCAGACGAAGTGTTTCTTCTACAAACTCAGTATGGTTTGGACATCGGCCACCAAATTATTTTCTTGGTGTTGAAAACTTATGTAAATTGCCTCATATTTTTATGGATTTTTCGAGCATACGCCTGTCAGCAACCTTCTCAAGGACCTCTTCAACTATCGATATCTGGTCCATACAGTTCACGTTCGTGCAGCGTTGCCAGATATATAGTATTTAAACTCACAATTACGACTCGTCATTCGTCATTGTCTCTCCTTCTTCAATTTGAAAATTTTTTAAAAATCAATTCCTTCGTTGACGGCGATATGTGCGAAAAGTGGTTTGAAACGGCGTCCCGCAGCTCCTCTAAACTGATTGTTGTCTACTGCTCTTAGAGAGAGAGAATACTACGAAGTTTGAACCTTCCAAACCATTGATGACGCGCGTTCGTCGCTGTCCGTGTCTTCGCTGCTACAAGGAACTTGTTCGACATCACAGCTTTCAACGGAAGTTTATGTTTTCTATATAATTTTTTTTTTTCGTAGAATCTGTGCGGACAAAGGATCTTATGACACGTGCCATTAAAAGTCTGCTAAAGCCACGTGAAAACTGTGTTACTCTCAGTTCTCAGTTTTCAAACACGCTCAACGAATTCCTTAACATAAAAATGAAATTCCCATCTCACTAATAATGAAATTGAGAGTTGAGTAATATGAGTCCGCTCATCAAATTTTCAGTTATGAGAAACGCGAATTGTTCGTACTACTTTTCGTACACACGAGCGTGTGTGTTTCATTGGGAAATGTTATAAAAAATAATAAAAAGGGGAGAATATATACCATAAACTGAGAAAAGTGAATGCGTATGTGCCAACAGTGTGCCAGGACAATGCAACTTTTACGAGAACATTACTGATGGACACCCATTTGTATTACTCTTTCGAATTTAACACGAAACTTTTCATCACTTTTTCGGAAATATTTTTTATTTAATTAAAACAGTCCCTTTGTATGCGAGTTAAACTTTTAATTGCTAAGATAGTTCTTTTATTTAAAATACCTGACATTAAGGGAGAGTGAGAACAAAATAAAATGAAGGAAGTAAGGTAGCGCTAAGTTCGGATAGCACGTTACAGTCGGGTAGCTTCTGCTACAGTCATAAAGTATTGTAATATGAACAATATGTCACCAAGCTCAGGTAAGGCGTCGAAGGGCTGCAAAGAAAAAAGCTGCTTGATCTTTCTGAAGAAAGAGAGGTTTTGCGATGAGAAATTTCAAACTGCGATGGAGGGAAAGCTAAGGAGGGAGAGAAAGCTAAGGAGAGAGAGAAGACGAAGTTGCAGACAAACAGAAAAAAGAACGAAAAATGTGAGTATTATTCAAGCTCAACTAAACCTCATGTTCTCCATGCCGTAGCATACTCATCTAGGGAAAAAGTGACCTGAGTTTATGAAGAAAGCGGTGAATCCATAACCCATGATTATGATGGAAAAGATCCAACTATGACGAAGTTCGAATAGCATTACTCCCTTAAAGAAACGCCATGCGGATCTGATGGACTATCGCGCTATTAGTTCTGCTTTCTGTATATAAAATAATAAAATTGGCGCCTTGTAACCGCTGAAGCAATTTTTGGCCGAGCTCCTCCTCCAATTTTTGGTTTTGCATCTGGATGTGTTTTTAACAAAATGGAGTGGCTTACGGTTTATACTAAGCCACCTCCGAATGGCTGATGGTTTTTTTATAAGGAGCTTTGATTTTCATATCATAAATAAACTCGGAGGGCTTGACATTGCCTGCCTAGGGGCGACCGCAATTAAAAGAAATTATTTCAAATAAATTTGAATGTTGGTCGAATCAAAACTCGTACCCTGGTCTTCCGAGTGGAACTACTCAATGCAAACCACTCGGTAATCGCGCCGGAGGTTAGTAAATGCCAACAAACAGATGGTGCATTCGTTTCTTAGCTCACATGTGAGACTGCAAAGAATTCCGTTCGTCTATTGTAGTACCAACAACAATGTCAGACTTTAAAATCACTACTGGTACTTTTGGGCTATTACAGAGAAAGCTCCCGTAACGAACACCTCTCTAAAACCGACATATCACATCTCTTTTCATACATAAAGTAAAACTTGTAGAACAAATAACACTTCTTTAGGCGGACTGTCCCTTGGGCGGAAGCGAAAAATTGTTTGAATGGACGCGAGGGATTTTCCATCGGACAAAGAGATTAATTTTTCATAATAAATTCAACCAAAACCTCTCTTACTAAGTGGACAAAATGTAAAAAAGTTGGTTTTCTGCACCCGACGAAAAGAAGATCTCAAGGAATGCGGGAGCAGCGAAGGAGGCCAGAAACCGTTTCCTCAACGAGAAGAAAAAAAGGTTTGAGTGCACTTGTACATTGCCTATAGACGTAAAAGAATGCGGTGGAACGCATCGAGGGTAATGAACCTCGCCTGCAAAGGAAAGTAAAGTAATTGAAAAAAAAAAATTGAAGAACGGAGGATCGAAGATCCCACAACTAGGACATCCGCATCGAAAGAACGAGCTAAAAAGGCAGGGACTCAGTGGAACTAACATAAGTAAGTGCCCCGAGTTTACCCGAGTAAACGCAGAACAGTTAGAAGAGCAAGCAAGCACTAGCAGTAAGCGTAACAGCGCCCAGAGAACTGCAATTGTAGATCAGACGTCCTAACGACTAAGCCCTGACTCTCCTTCCAGATAGCGGAACATTTTTGCAGTCCCTTAGGATACAACTGAAAGCTATCAAAGCGGTCAACGTGGTAGTGTTTACCAAGGACGGCCCTAAAAAGTTCTTATCACTGGAGCATTGGACCAAGATACAAGTCACTATCATGAACCAAGTTGTCAAAGAATAGGAGAAATATATATGAAGGGACCTCCATGAAGCTAAATCTGTGCGTAGACTGAGTCGTACAATTATACGACGGACAACACCTTCTGACTGGACTTCAGGTTTTGAGGTATTTTGGCCAAACCATAGAGATCAAAAGAGGCCAATAATAATGTTTCACATCCGCCCATGATCATGACTTTTCCTGCCAAGCCTAAATTCCAAAAAAGGTGAAACACCTTTGAAGTCAGGCATAAAAGTCTTTGCTTGAGTAATATAATATTATTTTTTTTTAAATGACAGTTGAGGTGGTGGTATAAAATTCATTTAAAATTGGGCAAAGTCGCCCGGCGGTGATTGCCCGCTTATGAGTGGTTTCACTGTATACGGTTCAGAAGAGTGGATGATGTTGAGAGCCAATGTGTTGCGAAAGATTTCTTGTCTTCTGTATATGAGCCACGGTATAGAAGAATGAGCTAGATGATATGTGACGACATTGCCCTAATCTAGCGTATTAAAAAACAGCTACTATGCTGGTAACGTCGTGTCGTGTGGGTGTAAGCACTTCGGCTTTGAAAGTTTTACATGCAGTGTGTGCAGGTCTAAGCTGGTCGAAAATGGGGAAGATCGCAATCTTAAGGGCTCCGAGGCCTGTTGAGATATCTGAAATATAACAAAGGTGCTTAAGCTTAACAAATTTAATGTCCCCGGTGCGCAGAGGTTGGTTGGTTATGAAAATTATAAAATAAATTAGTGAATTTCCACCAAATTCAGAATTCGTTATTGTCCAAGTGTTGTGGAGAAATATTTACTTTTACTGAATATCTTTCACAAAGC